TCTCCTAACTCCTAAGGTGTGGGCATACCAACTAACTTAAGTTAGAAAACGTTCAATTAGACAATGTTCCCCCTTAATTGATGCATACCTTTTGACATTAACAAAAAAATTTTTAAAAACTTAAAAATTTTATTTATTAAGGGAAAATTTGGAGTACACTACAAAAGCATAATAAACATCATCAAAGAGAAGAAAGTGGAACCTGGCAACATTGCAAAAAGTTAGAGACTTTTTTAAATCTATTTCGCAGGTACCCCATGGGGCAAATATTAAGGGCAACCTGGAAACAACATTGTTATAGTGTGTTCATCAATGTTTCAACAGAGATGTATCACAACCAACAATGATGTTAAAGAAACACCAAGCGAAATAACTTTTACTCACACTGTTTCTCAACAGCGATGTTAAGACTACAACAACGATGTTCAGAAGATCCCAGCAAAACGAGTATTACACAAAATCATTCATAATAGTGATGTTGAATTTCCAACATTGATGTCTCAGGGAGTTACAAATTTTAACATTTCTTTAACATTGGTTTAGCAACAACGATGTTGCAATGCCAACATCGATGTTCTAGATGTTGAGTTAAAAATATATCCATTGGTTATCATATTTAATGCTCTAACAGCTATGTTTTTGAATTCCAAATGGTTCTTTTACCCATTTTCTCTACACACACACAGATATATATATATATATATATATATATATATATATATATATATATATATATATATATATATATATATATAATAGAGATGGGTTTAGAGAGAGGATTCTTTCACGGCGATCTTGGCCGGCGGCTTTTATGGTGGCAGAACCCTTTCTCCGCTGGGCTCTTTAACCGGAGATCTAGATTACCCTCACAGAGGTATTCATCTCCTAATTCCTGGAGGGGGCAAACGCAATCGACGCAATCGAAGAACCCTTTCTTCACTGGGCTCAAGTTACCTGAGTATGATCGGAGATTTAGATTTCGTTTGCATAAGTATTCATCTTCTAGCTCTTGGAGGGGGTTGAAATAATCGAATTATAATCGGGGCTGGTCAGATTGTAGAGCTAGTAACATTCGTCCTAATTGGCAGTCACATCGAGAAGGTGTTTCTTTGCGTCCGTCTCTAACGCGAGTAGAAAGTCGGAACACCAGCTCCAGCTTTAGACTTCAAGCCAAGGTATTCAATCTCTTCCACTCTGGCTACAATCTCAACTACTGCATCACTGAGACAGGAAGAAGAACTTTTCAGATTTGGTTGAATTTTGAGGCTTTTAACTGGATTCTGGACTCCCTCTCTAGGCTCTTACGAAATAGTAGTTGGGTTCTTTCAAGGTTTGAGACAAATCGTAAGCTTTCACTTTCTTTTGGCTCCAACAAATGGGGGGACTATATCAGGATTATTGAGCACAGATTTGAAGGTATTTGCTCTATTTTCTTCCCTATTGAAAGGAGGGATGGAATTTCTCATTTGTTCGACTGCCTATCCTCTTTCTTGTCTAAGATAAAGGGTAAGAATAAGGTGGATGTCCCCATCTTGGCAGCAAAAAATGGGAAAACTTTGAATTCCCCATTTCCAGTAGGGGTTTCGGGGTTGTCTGAGTCGGTAGCATGTTCTTCCATTCATTCAGAACATGATGTAAATGCTATGGTTCTTTCTCCTAGGCCTTATGTATCTTGGAATTCACATCCAACAACCAGCTCTATTAACACCCCAGTGACTAAGTTTTCCTTTCCTGGTGGCTTTAGTTCTTTTATTTGGTTTCATTTGTTTCTGCATTTTTGTTCCCTTAATTTCTTGACGCCTAAGGCCAGTTTACATGTTGAGAATAATGCCTTGGGTGTATCTCCTATTGCAAGAGAGGACCCTTCGGATTCTATTCCATTAGATAACACACCTAGCCCCTGTTCACAGATGCAACCTTCTTTGGAATCAGGATCCTTAAACACTCTAGCTGCTGTACACAGTTTTGAACCTTTACAGGTTGTTTTTCCAGAAGAGGAGGATCACAGACAAACAGACTCTAGAGCATGCCAATCAGATTCAGAACTTTTTAGTAAGGAGGACAGCCTGGACTTTCAATTGTTCTTTAGAGACAGTGCAAAGATCGACCCGGACCCGGAACCATGGAGAGAATGGTACCCGGATGATGGTATCGAGCCTGATGACCACCTACAGCGGTGGGGAGGTCCAAAGGGACTTACTACTGCACTCATTCGTAATAATGATCAGGGGCGGATCATTTTCGAGAGGGGATGTGCTAGAGGCTCTAGCCCCCCAGCTCCTAGAAGGAGTCTTAGGCTTGCAAGGCGACGTCGTCTTCCTTCTCCAAGTCGATCAGAGATTTCTTTGGAATCGGAAGACCAATGGAGGTTTTGAGCTTCTGATTATTGTGTTAAGGGGAGCTATCTTGCTTTTATCTCTTTGTTGGCATCTTCATT